CTCGGCTCATCGCTCCTCCTGGGCCCCCTGAGACCATTCCTGGGACTGCCTGGGACAGAGGGGACGGGACGAAAGGGACCTGGCCCACCCCCTTGTCAAAGATGGCCAGGGCTGAGGATGACTCAGGGCCCGGCTGTCACCATGGCAACCCACATCGCCTAGCAATGGCGTTCTCCCAGTAACGGCTGTCTCCTAGCGACGGGATCTTTTCCCGGCCCTGGCTGGAGGCTGGCGGTTATTTTTAGCTCGCCTGCAAATCAATCAGCAGCTGCATTTTCGGCTGCTGGAGATGCGAGGTGTGGGGGGTGGATTTCTCCTCAAAGGGGGAAAAACATGCCGGTGACAGGAACCTTTCCGCCGTGGGTCCCGAGGTAACGCCAGCACCATTTGGTGGAGGTGCCAGCAAGTGGGGCTGGAGGAGTTGGCAGTGATGGTCCAGCCCCTTGAGCAGGTCTGGGGGATGCATCCTGAACAAGCTCGGTCCAGCTGAGCAGGCGATCCAGGCTGGAGCTGTGTGTGGACATCGTCAGTCTGTGGTGCGGGGGCCAGGGGTTGGCCAGCTGCTCACACCTGCCCCTCCGTGTGGGGACTCTTCCCACTGTTCCTCGCCCCACCCGGGGCTGCAGCACCTCTGGACCAGCCTGAGGGCACATTTAGCCGTCCTGGCTGCAGGGGGACAAGGTGGCCAAGACTCAGCTGGGGGCTCAAGAGGGACCAGCCTCGGGTCAGCCCCCAGCTCTGCTCCCTGCTGTTGGTGAAACTCAAGACCCAGCTGGAAGGCCTTAGCTGACTCTTGTCTTCCTTCGTTTTCTCAGGGACCCTGCTCTCTGTCACCAGGGGCCACGCCCAAGCTCCTCCCACAACTGAGGCACTTGGTGGAGCCAGCCCTGCCTACCTCTGTCCCTCCATGTGACCCCAGCACTGTGAGCACTCTGTTGGGTGTCTCCGTGCTCAGGCCAGGCTCACAGCGGGGCAGCTTCTCCCCTTTGGTATGTCCCAGCATCAGTGCCACCAGCCCCCTAGGACTCATGATTTGAGAGACAGTGCAAAGGCTGGGAGTCGGTCAGCCTTGGGGGGGAGGTGATGGCAGGTGACATCGAGGCCACCGGTCCTCACCCACAGCTCCCTACCAGGCTGTTCCTCCAAGGCCCCTCTGGAAAAGCTGGGAACAGAAAGCAGGCCACTCTGCAATGCCCAGAGTCACTCAGAAAAGTCTCGGAGGTACTAGTACTGCAGCCATGCCGAGGTCCACAGCCAGAGTCACGGCATGTCGGTCTCCCAGGGCTGCTGTCAGAAAAGACCACCAACGACAGGTGTTTGCTCTCGCCGTGTCGGAGACAGAGGTCTGACGCTCGGTGTCAGCAGGCCCATGCTGCCTCCAAAGGCTCTGGAGGAAGATCTCTTCTGTCGCTCCTCCTTCCTGGCTTGTGGCCACATCACTCCAGCCTCTCCTTCTGTCGTCACATGGCCAGGTCCTCTTCTCTTCTCATAAGGACACGAGTCACACAGGATTGGGACCTACCTTGCTTCAGTACGACCTCATATGAGCTCAACCGTATCTCTAGAGCCCTACTCCCAAACCAGGGCACATTCACAGGTACAGAGGTCAGGACTTCAGCGTGTTTTTGTGGGTGGCACAATTCAACCCATCCCACTAGCCACTGCTCTTGAGTCGATTCTGACCCACAGCGCCCCTAGAGGACAGAGTGGAACTGCCCCCAGGGTCTCCAAGGCTGTCAATCTTCACGGAGGCAAAGCCCAAACCACACCCACTGCCATGGAGTCCATTCTGACCCACAGCGCCCCTAGAGGACAGAGTGGAACTGCCCCACAGAGTTTCGCAGGCTGTCAGCCTTCTCGGAAGGCTCATCTTTCTCCCATGGAGCAGCTGGGCATTTGCACCACTGACGTTTTGGTTAGCAGCTGAGCGCTTAAACCACTGTGCTTCCAGAACTCCTTCTTCAATCCATAGACACAGGAAAAGGCAAGTACAGAGAGAGAGGTTCCAAAAGACAGAGGACGCAGAGACAGCCTCCAGGACACACACAGCGAGACACAGAGAAGGATGTAGGACAAACCCACAGTCAGAGAGCTGACACCCGTCTCTCTCCACGTGTCTGTGGCCAGCTGCCCCTCCACCCACTCACTAGCTGGCTTGCCCACCCCAGGCCCTGGTGAGGACTGAGGTCAGGACCTCAGGGTCCCCTGGCTCCATTTGGAGCCACAGATCCAGGGGCATCTGGGCCCTGTCCAGGGGCCTGATCTGCCTGCAGGCTGGGCAGGGGCTGGGCCCTACTCCTTCTCCCTGCAGATTCTTTGCCTTCTGTGTTGTTTGTGCTGCTGTGCTGTTCCCGGTCGCAGCACTCTTCTTCCATCCCCAGCCTCAGCTCACAGGTCACCTCTCAGGGCCACCCTCCCTGACTACCATGCTGTCACTTGGAAAGGGACAAACCTGTAAACCATATACACATCAGAACCACACGTGCACACCTACATGTGAACACACCTACACATGCTCACACACCTACACATGCTCACACACCATGTACATGCACCCCACACGCACACCTACACATGTACATATACCAGGTACATGCATGCACGAAACATACACATCAGAACCACACATGCACACCTACATGTGCAGGCACCTACATGCGTACTATGTACATGCACACACATGTACACATCAGAGGCACACATATACACCAACGTGTGCTCACACACCATGTACATGCATGCACACCTACACACCTACATGTGCACACACACCATGTACATGCACGCACACAGAGGCATCTGTGCAGAGAGGAGAGCTCTGTGTGTGTGCATGTGCGCATGCATGTACATGGTATGTGCACATGTAGGTGTGCATATGCTTCACAGGTTTGGGGGGCTGAAGCTGAGAACTGGGCCTGCGAGAGACACCCAGGAGACTCAGCTATTCCTGTTGTCTCCACCAAACTGCCAACAACACAGGGAAGGATGTGCCTGGCCCTTTCTGACTGTGACCCGAGAGCTCAGTACAGGCCCTGCACGCAGTAGGTGCTCAACGGATGCACGAGTGAGCCTGGGCCATGGTGGCTTTTAGGTAAAGCAGCCATTCGGTTTGTGGGAAACCCCACTGCCAGATGTCATGCTGAGTATGCCGTTGTCCCCACTGGACTGCAAGGAGGAGAGGCTATGAGACGAGACCCACCCTGGCAGGGGGCCGGCTCTGGGCCCTGGCTCAGCGTCTGGGACTATGGGCATCACTGGTCCATCCTCCAGGAAGGGGTGAAGGTGGGGTCTGGTGAGCTGGCCAGAGCCAGGTCAGCTGACTCCACTCGCTGCCAGCAGAGGGCCCCTGAAGCCCACTGTCTGACTCAGGTCTGGGCTAGGATGGCCAATGCCCAGGGACTGGTGGCCCAGGAACTGCCCGGAAGTGGCCCTCTGGCGTCTGGAAAGGGGCAGCGGTGTCTGACGCCCTCCCCCTTCTCCCCGTTGGTGCCTTATTCCCTGCCAGGTGCCAAGGCCCAGGCCCTATCTACCCCCCCGTGACCAACACCTCATCCGAGGCGGGTGGCCAGCTGAACCCTGTGGCCTCCTGGTCCCCCCTCTAGCTTGGGAGGTTCTGGGGCAGGGGAAGGATGAGCAGTGGGCCTTCCGACCTCTGCCAGTCATGTGTTTCAGGCCCACGGGGGCTGGAGGGGCAGGTCTGGCAAGGGAGGCAGTGGAGTGAGGGGCTTGCACCCCACAGACTCCACAGTCTGAGACCTCCAGAAACTTGACTTGGGCTCGGGCCCCACCATCAGCATTGGTTGAACCTCCTCCATGCCTAAGGCCTTCTGTGATCTGACCTGTGACCCCTACCGGCTGGCAGTGGCCTTTCACCCAGCAGTCAGGAGCCTCATCCATACCTCCACCTGGAACTCCCTACCTTTGCCACTTGGCCAGCGCCCCCCGCCCCTCCAGACACAGTTCAGAGGTCTTGCAGCAGGGAAGTCTCCATCTCAACCCTGGGTCTTCACACAGACCTCCGGCAGTGGCTTGTCGTTGAAAGACGCCCTGGTTCGGCTTGCCCAGGCTCTGTGGGGACAGTTCCGTAGCCGACTCAGTGGTGTCCTCCCCGCCCCTGCAGTTGTCTGTCATGCTGCCATCCCACCCCCTGAAAACCACGTTCCTCGTGTCATTCTTTCCACAAATGGGGCCTGAGAAGAGGGCTGTTTGGGAGAGTGGGTCTAGCTAGCTCCGACTGCCCTCTCCATAGCCAGCTGGTCTCCCCAAGACCCAGAGGCTGGAGCCTGGGGACCTGGGTTAGAGCTTCGGCCGGAGCTTCGCGGCCCGGCTCCCGGGAGGTGGACGGACGGCAGCCCTGTCCGCGTGGCGGCCCCTCTTTCCCGAGGTACCTGGTGCCTCTTGGGGAGGGGCCAGCAGGGCCGGGTTAGGGTCGAACGTGGGCTGCAGGGGCCAGGCCCTGCGGTGAGCCGCCCTCCCTCCCAGATGTATGTTCCTGAGGGCTCCACCTACACCCGCTCCGGCCCCAAACTCCGGATCCAGTAGCCGGGCCAGGAAGGCGCAGCGCGCCGAAGACGCGCGTGGGGGCCGCGGGCGGACGCCGGCTGAAACAGAGC